GGTCTTCCGTCCTCATTGTCCACCGTTAGCATGGGGAATGCTCGTTCCAAACACTCACTCCCCTCAAATGGATTCTGACTCACAGCGACCCTGTAGGACAGAGTAGAACTGCCCCTGTGGTTTCTGAGACTGTAAATCTTCACGTGAGCAGAAAACTTCCTCTTGAAGGAGCTAGTGGTTTTTGAACTACTGACCTTGTGGTTAGCAGCCAAATAAATGCCTAACACCATGATGGCTCCTATATAGTACTAAGCTGATTTTTTTTACAGCCAGGCCCAGGTAGTTCTAAGTGTGTCACATATATTGTTTCTTTATTCCTCAGAGTGACTTTATAAGTATCTCCACTTTGCCTGAACAGAAAATTGGAGACCTAATTAAGGTCATGCAGACAAAATCTGTTAGACACCCCCGAGCGGAGGGATGGCTTGACTGTTTCAGAGGTGCTGGTGTCTTGACACACAAAGACATCCAGACTTCAGTAGAGTACACATCAGTGGTGCTTGAGTGCGACGCAGGATCTGAGATTGGATTTTGCCGTAGCGGATACTGGGGAGATGGGGTGACATCTGAATCGGCTCTGTAGATGCGATGCTGGTATTACATCAGGGACCGTTCCGTCGCTCTGAGAACTGTCCTGGGGTTCCGCCGGAGAGCAGCTTTGCTTTTAGGGAAGCCATGCCAGAGAATTTAGAGGTAACCGAAACGCCGTGTTTGAAACCAACCCTCAGAGGATTCAGGAAAGTAAGAGTAAAGCAAATTTGGTAAGCTATGAGACGGAATCTGGGTGATAGGTATAAATGGATTTTTCCTACTGCTCTTGTTTAAAATTAAAGGCAGCTTTTCTAAGAGAGAAATCACATGCCCATATCATTCACCCATCTAAAGTGAGCAATCCGGTGGCTTTTTGCACATTCACACCTACGTGCAGACATCGCCATAGTCCATTGCAGAAACGTGGTTAGGACCTCAAAAGCCCCACCTTTTCCACTATCATCCCTCCCAAGCCTCTTGCTGGAGTGACTGTGACCACCAAGTGGAGACCCCCTCCCCCGGGATTGCATGTCCTCTGGGCACTGCTAGATCTGCAGGAACATCCACCCTGCCTGTCTTGTCCCAGGTCACCGGCCTTGAAGGGCCCACTGAGGGCAGCAGGAGCACCAGGCTCAGACCACTGCCTAGGCTGGACGGCCTGCAGGCTGGGTAGTTGGGAAAAGCCCACTCCGGCCCCAGACCTGAGAGGCAGCCTGCCTGGGACCAGAGGGCAGGAGGAACTGGAAACCTGTGTGTCCCCCACCCCCATGGGCTTCTCTTCCAACTGAAGGGAGGCTGTGGGAGGGGTGGGGTGACCTCTGGCAGTCCCTCCCCATCACCCGGACTGTCTGGCTTCTCCTCGGATGAAAGAAGTGAGCTTAAGTCTCTGGCTGCTGATGAGTCAGACTGGGAGGCTCTGTCCACAGCCCGGCTGGCCCCTGCCCCCGCCCGCCCCCACCTGCAGGAGAGGTAGAAGTGGAAGCTGAGCTGACTCCCCTCCACATACACGCTTCAGGGTTTGGGGGCGACACACAGGCTTGTGTGTAGGAGTGTATCCTGCGTGTATGCCTGCGTGTGTGCAGGCGCAAACAGCCCCGTGGTAACAGATCAGTGTTTTCATGGGTGAGTAGTAATTACTGGGTAATGCTTTAAAACCTTTCCTGAAGGAGCGCAAGGCTGTTTTTTTCTAAAGTCAGGAGTACATTAAAAGGATTACCATGTAGATTTGATTTTTAGATAACACTAAAATGGATCCCAAATGGACTTCAGCAAAGGGATGCTATCTCCTTAATGGAAAGAGCATGGCCCGAGGTCAGCTCCCACAGTCAGCCAGGGAGGAGGGAGCCCAGAGGTGTCTGCAGGGGTGGACTGGAGGGCTGAGGGGGGGGTGTCCCTAGGCACAGCAGGGAGTGAGAGCCTGGATGCCCTGGGGAGCATCTCACTCAATTGGGGGAGCAGGAAACTATAGCTGCCCCCTAAAAGTCCCTCTACCTTTCTAGGCGTGGCAAGGTCTCCCAGCCAACACGTGGTGGTGCTCCGTCATCTTGGCTGAAAGAAGGGTGGGGTGACTTGTGGTCCCTCTTGACTGCCAGGGCCTGGGTGATTCCCGTTCCCCTTATTTGTCAGATGGGGGCAGGAAGGCCCAGAGGACCTGGGAGGCTTGCCCTTGATCACAAAGCCCGAGGGCTGCAGATCAGGAGCTGCCCAGTCCAGTCCTGGATCCATGCCCCGGAGAGGCTCTGAGCCACTTTCTCCTAGGATCTCAGTCCCTCGAGATCTGTTCAATGCTCCCGGCCTCCTCAGCCAAGCTGGCCCTGGCGTTCCGTGCCTGCACGGACATCAGAAACCATGTGGCTTTGGAGCGATTCTTAGACTCAGTGCCCTCAAAGTGGGCTCACGTTTGCAGGCACCTGCTGTGGACGGCTGAGCCTGGGACAAGCAGAACGTGGGAGGCCGGAGCAGCTCACGCTTTGGCTCCTTACGGCCTCCACGGGTTCTGTCCTGCTGGTGATTGGCCAGCTAGGCAAAGGCTCTAGTCCACAGCCCGCAGGCTCAGGGGCTGGGGCCCAAGGCCAGTACAGGGAAGGGAATGAGCTTGGAAGACCAACCCCTCCAGTAACATGGAACAGGGCAGATGTTGCTGTTATTATTGCTGGGGTGTCCTGTGGTCCCCTTCATCTTGGGGTGTAACTTCACAGGTCAGGTGTACCTCCCGAATATGGATGGTGTAGCTATTCACACAGTTAAAGCACAGGTGTAGAGCCCCGAGGGGGGCTCTGGGAAGGGAGCCAGGCCAGGTGAGAAAGGGAGGGGAGAGCAGCTTTGGGGATGGGGGGGGGGGCTGTGCCCGGGGCGTGGCCTCAGATTTTCCAAGTTGCCATTCCCATGTATAGGTATCCTGGCGCTTAAATATTGCCGCATCGCTGAACCGCACCCCTCCTTCCCAGGCACTCCTCCTATGGGCTTGGCACTGTCTCACCCTGAATCCTGGACCCCTGGTCATCTAGATACTTTGCATCCCCCTGCCCCCGACATCAGAAGGAGCCACATAGTCCCTGCCCCACCCCACCCCCCCTGGCTCTTGGAGTACTTCTGTCCCAGCTGACTCCCGCGGACTCCTCAGAACTGGGCCTGGGCTGGGCTCTGTCAGGAGGAGACCCAGGCAGGCGGCAGGCATCCCAAGCCCATCGCTCTCTCAGACCAATTAACCTTTAAAGCTGCATTAAGGGAATTAGGCAGCAAATGTCCCAGCTAGCAGACAGGCCCTGCAGGGCCTGAGGGAGAGGGGGAGGAAGTGCCATCACCAACAGCCACCCCCACGCCTGTGGATGCCCCCTCCATCTCTCATCGGTCACCGGCCCCATTGGTCCTGGGCTCAGGAGGACCCCTGACCCAGAGGCCACCCCTCCTCCAGAAGTCTGAGGAGGCAGCAGGCTGAGAGGAAGCACCAGGAGGGGAGGACCCCTGGGGCCAGCTGGGTGAGTGGCTGACACTGGCCCCTCTGTCTACCTGGGCCTCGGTTTCCCTGTTGTAAAATGAGAGCCCAGGTAGAAGAACTCTGAGGGAGGGCTCTTCTTAGCTGCCATCTGTGAGTTCAGTGACTCTTGGTGGCTGGATCTTCTTGAAGACTCCAGGAAGGGTCATGTCTGGAAGGGAGGGGGAAGGGAACACGAGGGCAGTGGCCAAGCAGCTGGGACTCTCCAGGCATGAGCCAGGGCCGGGGCGGGCGATCAGGTGTACCTGGGGCTGGGCTGGGAGGAAGGAGAGCGGAGGGGGCTTTGGTGAGGAAGGGCCGGCAGGAAGGCAGACTGCTGGCTTCCTGGACAGCTGGGAGGCTGGTCAAGAAAGGACACTCCCTGCCCCTGCCCCCGCGCCTCCCCCCCACCCCCATCTTCAGGAGAGTTTCTCAGATGCTCTACCTTCTAGGCCAAAGACCCCCCTCCTCCCGAGATACCCTGAAATTCTCTCCAAACTTCGTCTTCACCACAGGCTCCAGATGGCATCTGTTCCCCACCCCACCCCCCAACCACCCCTCCCCATGGTCGCATCTTGTTACCCAGGGGGAGGGCCTCAGTACCCCAGTCTCTGTATGCAGGTGTATACACACATGTGTGCACATGCATTTGCCTGCTGGAGGCTCTGCCCTTTCGGCAAACACCACACTGGGCAGCCTGCCTTCATGTGTGTCGAGAGGCTTATGTGGGCCCCGGGAGGGAAGGGCTGATAGTCTTATCTGGGGGTGAGGGGCAGGCATGGGGATCCAGATGCTGGCAACCTTCTCCCCAGTAGTCCAGGCCAACTGAGAAGCTCTAATTTGCCTAAGCAGCATTGCTGAGCAGAGCCCTAAGTAGGCCAGACCCACCTGCCTCCCAGAAGGTGCCAAGGGGGTCCAGAGCCACCTGCTCCCTCCTGGGAGCTTGAGAGGGGCATGCCTGTGGATACCGTCATCGTTCTATCTACAGAGGTCACAATGGACACATATAGGTGCAGAATGAAGAGGATTTGAATTGGCACAGGAGCCGAGCGTCCTAGGAGACCCAACGCTCATTACGAGACTCTCCATAGGGCTGCGGAAAGAGTCAGAGAAGTCCGGCTATGTGAGCAGGTCTCCGGCTCACAGAGAAAGCAGCGGGGAGGAGCAGCTCTGGGCTGCGGTGATGCTAAGCTCTGGACTGCATCTGTGATGACCAACACGGGGGCTCCGGGCTCCCCGGTGCTGCCCTTTCACCCTCCGGAGCTCTTCTCAGCGCCAGGAGGACAGGCAGGGCCCTGCAGTCCAGAGGACAGACTGCAGAACCAGAGAGGCAAAGGTTCTTGGGGTATAAACAGAGACTTGAAGGAGCTGGGGACCCGCCCCCGCCCCCTTCCTAAAGGGATGTACCTGAGGTTTCCGCAGTCGGCTCCCTGGGGCCTGGCCCCACAGGGCACCCATCCTGTGTGCATCCGCCCATCTGTCTGTCTGTCCGCAGGCATGCAGATGCTCTCCGTCCAGCCCAAGGGGAAGCAGAAGGGCTGCGCCGGCTGCAACCGCAAGATCAAGGACCGCTACCTGCTGAAGGCGCTGGACAAGTACTGGCATGAGGACTGTCTCAAGTGTGCCTGCTGCGACTGCCGCCTGGGCGAGGTGGGCTCCACCCTCTACACCAAGGCCAACCTCATCCTGTGCCGACGCGACTACCTGAGGTGGGCCCCCCACTGCCACACCGGGCACAGCCTGCCTGCCCGCTTACTCCTGACCCTCCTGCCTCCCAGGAGTCCTGCCCCCCTCCGCCCTGGGCCAGACCCGAGTCTAGCACTCTGACCTTGGTGTCCAGGTCTAGTCCGGGACCCACGTGCATCCACGTGCATCAGGCGCTTGCGATGGACTTCCGGGGCAGACCAGCCTGGCCCTGCCTCTGACGTGACCAGGTGCTTCCCATGCACCTGTGTCTGCATCTCCTTCCTACCTCTTCCCTGGGCCCGGCTCCCTCCTCTCCTCTCCTCTCCCAGGCCAGTGTTGGCATCCTGGCAGTCTGTGTGCCTTGGGAACCAGCGGGGACCATCCCCAGAGCTGGATGGCTGATGGGGGAGCTGAAAACCCTGCTTGGATTGAACTCTGAGCGTGTAGGCTTACAACCACTCTTCCAGCCTCAGTTCATTCCTCGGTGCTGTGGTGAAACCCAGGTCCCTGCCTGGCGGGCAGTCCTTAGAACTCCCTCTCCCCTCCCCTACAGCTGGGCTCTTTGGGCCTTGGGGCTGCCTCCCCCAATTAACCCTCCTTTAGGCCATTTATGACATCACCAGGACTGGAAGGAGGCCACCAAGCAGGGGCCTTGGCTGAAACCCAGCGCCTGCATTTGGCTGCTCCGGAGGCTGCTGGAAGGGGGCTGGGCCTTTGGGGAAGGCCCGTTGCATTAATTAACAGGTCACAGCAAGGGCTTCAGGGGGCGCCCTGGCTCCGGTCTGGGCACATTGTGGGTGGGGCAAGCTCATCATCAGAGGCTCCCCCTTCCCAGAAGAGCTTGAGATCCAGCTGCCTGCACCCCCCTCTTCTAATTTTAGCTTAAAAGAGGATGTTTGTGTTGTTGTTTTGTTGTTGAAGTGCAGCAATAAAATAGGATGGGAGACTGTGTCCCGGCTGGAGTCAGGGGGTGGGGAGGCAGAGGCCAAGAACAGGGCTAAGGAAGGATACTCCTGGAAGACCCCCCCTCAAGGAGCTGAAAGGGACTACTCAGTCTGGGGACTAAGCTGACCACACTGTGGGGAGGTGACAGTGTGTCTGAGTGGACCCCTGGGCATGGAGAGGGTGGCTCCTGGCTCCGGAGGGCCTTCTGGGTTGAACTAGAGCACGCAGCATTCTGGGCTCTCTCCTACCAGCAACGGGGGCTGAAGGCATTTATTCTGGACTGTCAGGCCAGGGAGGCAGTATAGCTGGGCAGGGGTGAGGCGTGACCGAGCTACTCAGCCCCAGAGAAGGGCTGATCAGAGGGCTCCCTTCAGCAGCTGGCGCTCCATGCGCTGGTGGCAAGGAAGGCTGGTCTGGGCAGGCAGGTGCTGCCCCCCCGCCCCCCCCCCAGCCATTGTCTGCCTTAATCTGAGCCACAAGACAGCTCCACTGACTGACTGAAGCCAAGCCCTGTCTGCAGCACCTGGGCCTGAGCTGGACAACTCAGGGATTCGAGGGACTTTCGTCCACACCACAGGCCCTCACTGACTCAGACCACTGGGACATCCAGCCATCGATTGGCCTGCGTGGGGTTGGAGTGAGCACCTGGTCCTTAGATGTGTACAACCAGCTAAGAGGAAGGGACCCGCCTCAGAGAGGCTTTTGTGCCTGACGTCCTGGGGGCGTCCTTTGGGCATCAGTGCTGTTGTAGTAGGCTCGAGGATCAGAGCCCCTAGTCTGGCATCCCCACTTCATAGAGGGATCAACTGAGGTGCAGAGCAAGGAAGTGAGCCGGCTGCAGAAAAGGAACCCGGGAACACCCCGTCCTTTTGAAGCGGGGAGGCTGTGGCCCGTAGGGATGAGGAGCACGCTTTCTGGAGGCAGGCTCTGTGACGCTGGATGAGCTCTTGACCTCTCTGTGCCTCCTTTTCCCCCTTTTCTCTGACGTGAAGACAATCACTGGAAAGCACCCGATGGTGAAGCCCGGAGCTCAAGCCTAGCACCCACCTCCCAGGGCTCTTACCGGGATAACATGAGTCACTTTGCAAAGCTCTCAGGCCTGACCTGACACATGGCCAATGCTGTGCATTTTCAGGACAACCCTCTGAAGGCTCTGTGGGTCTGCACTTTGCTGTTTAGGTAAATGAGACTCAGAGAGGTTCGGTGACTGGCCCAGGGACACACAGCCCACGATTGACTGACTGCCGCTACAATTCAGTGAGTTTGGAGCTCGCACTCGGGGCCCTGCTCAGGGCTCTTCTGGGGTCCCACGTGCTTGAGGGGCCCCAGAGGAAGACAGGGATGGACAGCGTCAGCCGACACCTGACATCCTACTCCCCTTTGGGGCAGGTTCGCCAATTCCTCAGAATCCCGGCCTCTTGGCAGAATCTTTGTGCTGCCACTTGCGCTCTTGTCCAGGCCCAGCTGCTAGGTTCACAGACAGGGAGGGGAGGGTGGACCCCGGCTGGAGGCCTCCCCTTTACCTCGAGCCCTCTTCCCTGCAGGCTTTTCGGCACCACAGGAAACTGCGCAGCCTGCAGCAAGCTGATCCCAGCCTTTGAGATGGTGATGCGGGCCCGGGACAATGTGTACCACCTTGACTGCTTTGCCTGCCAACTCTGCAACCAGAGGTGAGCACTGGCCTGGGGGTGGACCCCACACACCCACCAGACCCCAGCCAGAGGCTCCAGGTGTCGGCTGACACGCTCTATCCCGGGGACCACCCTCCCTGGCGCATAAGCCCTGTAGTCAAATGTGTGTGTCCATCTACTCTGCGTGCACACGGCTGTGTGAATGTTGGGGGTGGGGGGACTAAGCCCGAGGCCCGGTAGTACGGTTGGCCCTTGCCTACGACACTAAAGGTTTGTGGTTTATACTCACCCAGTGTCACCGCAGAGGAAAACCCTGGCATCTTCCATAAAACTGCTCTCCAACCGGGAACACCCTTCGGGGCAGTTCTACTCCGTAGCTCCTGGGTCAGAGTCAGCTCAGTGGGAGCAGGCTCCGTGGTGGTTTGTCTTGAACTGGAAGTATTCTGGGTACGCCTGGTGGGAGTGTGTACACAGGCGTGTACATGCCAGTGTACACAGGTGTGTTTTTAAAGGTCCTCATGCCGTGTGTGTGTGTGTGTGTGTGTGTGTGTGTGTGTGTGTATACCGTGGGGCATCTACATACGTGAGTGTGTGTTTTAAATGTGCATGTGTGCAGGTGTGTCTGTGACCCATGTCCTGGTATGTGTGTGCTCTCTTCATGTGTCTGCACATATATTTGTGCATGCATGTGCACATATGTTCTATGTGGAAAGGGAACCAAAACCCCTGCAGGGAATAGCTATCTCCCCGCCCCACCCCACCCCACTGCTGTGACTCTGGGTGCAGTCCTAGTCCTTTGGCCCCTAATCAGTGGGATCCCCCAGAGAGCCACGGCCATCAGCACCGGCTGGGGCAGTGGGGCCTAGCACCAGAAGCAGGCCTCCCCCCACTGCCCCCAGGAGCCCTGGTGAGGTAAAGGCTCACAAGAGTGTCCCTAGAAGGTGAGGCCTAGAGAGACTGGCAGAGAATGCTGGTCTGACCGCCAGACCCACTGCTAGACGGGCTCAGTGAAGTTGCAGCGCCATCTGGCGGTGGGATGGGGATATGCTGGAATTGGACCAGTGACCCTGGAAGTCTTATTCAAGGGCCCTACCACCCCCTGGGGGAGATCCCTGGGGAGGGTTGGACTCCCCCTAGGCTTGAAGAGCTGGAGAACAAAGAAAAGCCTTCTTAGGGCAGAGGAGGAGATTGGGGGTGGGGCAGGGTCCCCTCCTGGAAGGACATCCGGAAACCACAGACTTTGTTTAGAAGAAGCATGCCCTTCCCTAAGCTGGGGAGAGGGGGAGCCCAGCCTCCCCTTCCCTCCTCTTCCGTCCCTGCTTCTCCTGCTCTCTGTTCCTCTGTCCTCCCAGAACTGCTGTGGCTACGTGCCCCCGAATCCATTTTCCACTCACAGTGGCCGCATGAGCAAAACAGAGCCACCCCTGGGATTGTCTGGGCTCTCATCTTGACCACTTTCCTGGGCCTTCCTCCCATCGAACCACTGGGTGGGTCTGAACCACGAACATCTAAGTCGGGTGCTCAATAGCTGTGTCTCCAGGGCGCCTTTCTCAGGGTCTAGTCTAAGGGATTCTCGAACCTTCCCGCTGATATCCCCCTTCCCCTCACCTCCAGGGAGTCCTGGCTGTGGACGGTCTACGGTTTAACTGTCCATTCTGCTACCCTAGGCTACAGTGCCTGGCTGCAGCTGGACTGACCCAGGGTTGTTGGCCAGGATAACTATAGGAGTTCCATACTTCCCCTGTGGGACATTCAGGGAGCACGTACCCCAGCACCAGTGCCGCCCCCCCACCCCCTTGTCTCATCCCACCACTGGGCCAGGCTGAGTCTTGACTGAAACCTCACCACCGGCTGCAACCTCTCCCACAGCCTCTCTCTCTTTCTCACTTGGATTTTCCAGATTTTGTGTGGGAGACAAATTCTTCCTGAAGAACAACATGATCTTGTGTCAGATGGACTATGAGGAGGGGCAGCTCAATGGCACCTTTGAGTCCCAGGTACAGTAACGCCTGGCACCTGGCCTCTGGGCCCATCTCTCCATCTGCCCGTCTGCCCACCTGCCCGCCTGCCCACCCGCTGGGCCGGCCGGCCACCCTCCTGCCACGTTAGAATGTCTCCATCCTGGATGGGAGGGACGGCCCTTCCTCCACCGCCGCTGCCTGTCTGTGTGTGACCCTCCTGGGGCCAGGCTGAGCCTGTACAGTCCGTCTTCTGTATATAAATGGGAACATTTATTTTATGAGAAATGTAATGCGGTTTTATTACTGGCGTGGATTAAAGTTATGAATGTTTCCGGGGAGCTTGCTCTGTGTTGTTCACGTGGCGGCCACAGACCTGTGGCACCTTCCCTTGGCCTGGGAGGGGACGAGGCCCTCACCGCTGCCCCTCAAGGGCTGGCCCAGGGAGCAGGGCGCAGTCAGCTGGGGGGGTCTCCAGGCTGGCTGCAGAGGGGAGCAGCTGGAGGGAGGGGGACAGCTCAGAGACACACACCCCCACCCCAGAGGTAAGAGCACTGGGTGGCCTCCCTCGCTTCCATAGTGCCTTGCTCCCCAACAAGAACAAGATGGAGCCCTTCCTGTTCTGGGTCCCTAATGATTTCTTCATGGGGAATCCTAGACTGGGCTGCCCCACACGGGCCTTCCTCCACAGGCAGACTCCCAAACCCACAGTCCCCCACCCACACACCCAATGGAAGCGCCATCCTTAAACCCCTCCTTTCAAGGTGGCAAACAGCCTTGGCTAATTCTGCCCATCACCAGGGGCCTGGCCCGGGCCCAGCTTTCTGCTCGGGGGTGGTGGAAGAATAGCCCTGTTTCCCTTGCACTTGGCCCCTGTGGCCGGAGGAGTTCCTTCAGTCAGCCAACAAACCTCCACCCATTCTGCGACTCAGCCTTGCACTGCCAGCTGGGGCCACCCGGAGAAAATCAAACTGGAGGATGAAGTGAAGTCAGACAGTCCCAGCCCAGGGGAACTAGTGGTGGGGCTGAAGGCCCAAAACCAGGGAGGGAGAAGGCCAGGAGAGCGAGCAAAGCCCACCATGGGGCAGACAGACGCCAAGGGAGGCCTGGGACAGTGTGCTCCCTCCTGTGGCCACGGGGCCTCCTGTGGAGCGTTTGGAGACAAGCCAGCGAGCACGGAGTCCACGGGCACACGCTAGCAGACCGGAGAGGGGGTCACAGAGACAGGGTTGAGGCAGAGACAGCTGGGCCAGCAACAGACAAGCAGACACCAGGCGGTTTCCAGTTACTACCAGGGAGGCTGCAGCCACAGAGCCTGGCCCCGGAAAGGTACCACCGTCTGGTTTTAAGAAGGGAGACTTCTGGGGCCCAGAGCATCGGGGCTGTCTGTCCGTCCTTCTTCCTCAGGGATTGGTTCACGCCATCGGCCGGAGCCCAGGGTTGATGGAGTCAGCCGGCTGCCTCTCACCCTGCTGGGCAGGGAAACAGTTGGGGTGGGCTGCGGTTGAGCAGGGTGGGGTCAGGCAGACCTCCGGGTCACCTGCTCCTTCACTTTATGGGAAGTGGGTGGGTGGCTATACTCTTGCCCGCCAGCAGGGGGCTGGCTCCCTCTCCAAGGTGTGGATGTGTGGATCCGGGTCCAGTCCTGGGAACAGATCCCTGGGATCTTGGGGCAACATTCTCAGTTTGAGGGCCTCCGCCTTCACTGGAGGAGCTGCACATACCAATGTGAGAAAGGAGAGAGACCACACTAGCCCGGTTCCGGTGGGTGTTTGCCCCCTACAGTGAGTGTGGAGCCGGGAGGTGCTCGGCGTGGCCCTGTGAGATCGGAGAGAGTTGCAGTGTGCAGAGAGGGGCACAGAAGGCTGGAGCCCACAAGGAGGGATGGTGTCGTGAGTCTCCAGTGCCAGACCCTCCCTGGGCCCTCAGGTCTAGGATGGCCTCACCCACCCCCAGGGCTCCGACTCCTCCCTCCGGAGTTTGCTGCAGATAAAGTTGCAACTCACTAATTTCATGGTTATCAACAGATAACGGAGCCACTCACACGCGTTCCTGGGCAATTACAATTGTTTCCAACAGCGCTGCCATATTGCTGCCATGCAATGACATGTCATTTTGCAGTAATTACGTAATTAACTTGTCTACCACTCGAGGCTGCACAACAATTAATTCCCTCACAATGAGACAGACTCCACGTCAGGCATCCAGCCTTTGAAAGCCCCCAAGAGCAGTGCTGGCCCCAGTGTGGCTCTGCCCACCTAGAATTGGCCAGGGGGGCTCCCCCAGCTGATGGGGCACGGCTCATGCCAAGTCCAGCACCATGGACCTACCGATCGTTGCCTCACCATCCTCACCCACGGGAGGGGTGATCGAATCCCCAGGGCAGCCCCGAGGGTCCAGACAACACTATTAGTAAGCTCTATGTTCACGTGAAGAGCTGGGGTAACTACCCGGAAGGTGTGGCCCTGAGTAGGAGCCCCCTTGCCCCGGGAGGCCCATAGCCAGCCACAGCAGCGCCCCCCCACCCCCAAAGAGTCTACCCAGGCTGCAGCAGCTGTCAAAGCCAACACACGCGAGGGCGGCAAATGGGAAATCAGGTCTCTCAGTAGCAAGGCAGCAGAGGCAGGGCTGGAATACGAGCTCCGGGACGAGGGGGATTATGTACCTGGAGGAGACTCCTGACCCTGACCCAGGCAAAGCAGGACCCTCTCCCCATGGGAGAAAAGCGGTTCAAGGTGAGGCATGAGGTGGCCTGGCCTGGTTCTCTTGGGACTGTGGCTGGAGACAGAGGGGGTGGGGAGAGAGCAAGGAGAGCCACACTGGGCTGAGCCTCAACCTAAGCCAGCGGTTCTCAACCTTCATCATGCCGCGACTCTTTCATACAGCTCCTCGTGGTGTGGTGCCCCCCCCACAATCATAAAATTATTTTCGTTGCTACTTCATCACTCATTTTGCTATTGTTATGAATCAGGCCACCCCTGTGAAAGGGTCATTTGACCCTGGATTAGTCTGGGTAGACTAGAGAAACAAATTCTTGGAAACACATATGTGTATAAGAAAGAGGTTTCTATACACGAGCAATTGAACATGGAGAAAACATTCCAGCCCAGATCAAGTCCATAAGTCCAATATTAGCCCATATGTCCGACATCAATCTTTAAAGTCCTCTTCAGACACAGGAAACACATGCAATGAAGCCAAATGCAGGACGATCACAAGCCAGTGGGTAGAAAGTCTTTGGGTCCAGTGGTGCTGTACGCTTCTCAGCGCTGGCAGGGGTCTCTCTGTGGCTTCTCCGGCTCCAGAGGTCTGGTTGTGTCCATGTGACTTGTCTTCCGCAATGTCTCCTAGGGAATAGCAGGGAGAGAGCAGTGTCTTCCGCCTCCAAGGAGGAAGTACCAGATTTCCCAGAATTCTCAGAAGGCCATGCCCACACAGATGTCTCATTGGCTATCTCCAGATTGACAGCCTAGACTCCACCCCTGTATTAGTCTAGGTACTTTGGAGAAACAAATCCACAGCAACTCACGTATAAGAGAGAGTTTTATGCAAAGAAAATGTGCATCACGAAAACATCCCAACCCAATGCTGCCCAAGCCCACAAGTCCAACATTAACCCATACCCAACACCAGTCCACAAAGTCCTTCACCTCACAAAACAGAGGCAATAATGCCGACTGCAGGAGGAAAGCTAAGTCAGTGAACGTGTAAGCATCTCAGCACTGGCAGGGGTCTCCACATGGCTGCTCCAGCACCCAGGGCTGCATCGGGATAGATCCATGCGGCTTCTCCTTGGGGATGTCTTGTAGGAAATCCATCTTGCAAGCTGAAGCAGGGAACTGCTAAGGCAGCTTCACCCGATGCAACCATCACAAAACAAGAGACCCGAGAACTAGAAAGGCGAGGCTTCACCACCCATTTATCCCTCCGCCTTTCAACCAGACCCACATGTGATTATCGGCCAGGCTGGCACAATTAACTAACTCACCCCCCTAAACTCTTAATCCTTAAATTGACATCAGATTAGGTGAATACCACAGACCCCCAAAGGAGATGAGACTCACAAGTTGAGAACCGCTGACCTAGGTCATGTGGGAGGTGGGTGGCGGGGCTGTGGACGAGCAGCGCACTGTAACATGCACCAGCCCCCTCCTCCAGCCCATCTCCCCCCAAGAACCCTAATGTCGGAGACACCCCAATAGGGTCCCTGCTTCTGCTTCCTCTCCGTCGCCTGAAGCTGGACCACGCAGTCTGTGTGCGGGAAGATGTCTTTTCTAATCTCAACACTTTGAGCGAACGCCTGTCTGATGGACCCATCATGAAATGTCACCTGGGTCCCAGAAACCTTGCCTGACATCTCAAGACAAATGGGGCTGTGGGTGGAATCAACATAAACTTCCTACTTGGGGGACCTCATCTCTGCCGTCATTCAGTGCCGTTAAGTAGGCTCCCCGGCGTGCAACACGGCCCAAGCCCGCACCATCTTCACCATCGACGCTCTCTGAGCCCACTGTTGCAGCCACTGTGACAGTCCAGCTCTTGGGGGGTCTTCCCCCCTTTTTTTGCTGATCTTCTTTACCAACCTCATCAGTACGTGAAAGCAATCCTTCTCTCCTCTTGTACAGTCCGACTAATGAAACCTGGCACTCAGTGAACCCCACCATCCCCCATCTGGGGATGCTGCCACCAAGGGAGGGCAGGTCAGTGTGTAGCGACAGCTGTGCCTCGTCCTTGGTGAGAACGTGAGTGGGAGAATGCTGTCATGATGCAAGTGGGTGGCTGCGCCTCACCTCTAAAACTGTAACTGCCTGGAAGTGAGTGACTTGAGATGGAGGTGAGTGGGTCCAGAAAAAACGCAGCATCCAACCCGGTTCCTCATGGAAACATGATAACCAAGCACATGCATGCACGCCGGCAGAGAAGGGTGCTGTGTAATTGGAAGTCTCATGGGCAGTGCTTATCCCTGCGCCTGGCTCCAGGGAATAGCCATGATCCCAGACTTTCCAACGCAATGGAAACTAGTTGGCCCCCGAGACTGAGGGGCGGGGGTGGGGCGTCCCAGATCTCTTCAGCCTGCTTCTCCAGAGAAGATTGTTCTTGAGCTTTCTCCTGTAGATGCCTTGTTTGTGACCCAGCCACAGCTAGCCATCCCCCTAGTGTATCTGTCGTCGTCCCTGACCGCCCCCGCCCCCCCCCCCCAGCAGTGTCTCTCTGCTCCTGCCACTATGTTGAGCTCCGCCCTTAGTCCCCGGGAACCTCCAGCACTGACACGCCTCCCTGCTGGCAAGCCCTGGGCTCCCACAATCAGTGTCACATTCTAAGCGTTCTCCTTTG